TATATATATATATATATATATATATATATATATAGTGGCTGTACCAATTCACATTCCCACCAGCAGTGCAAGAGTGTTCCCTTTTATCCACACCCTCTCCAGCATTTATTGTTTCTAGATTTTTTTTTTGTTTTTTGTTTTTGCGGTACGCGGGCCTCTCACTGTTGTGGCCTCTCCCGTTGCGGAGCACAGGCTCCGGACGCACAGGCTCAGCGGCCATGGCTCACGGGCCCAGCCGCTCCGTGGCATGTGGGATCTTCCCGGACCAGGGCACGAACCCGTGTCCCCTGCATCGGCAGGCGGACTCTCAACCACTGCGCCACCAGGGAAGCCCTAAAGTACTATCTTTTCTGGTGACTTGTACATGTTTACTTTTAAATTTGAAATTATTCTGGTACATTTCTATTAACTTCAGTGATGAGAAGAGTTGTAATTAAACCGAGTCCGTCAAAACAGGCATTTATATACAAAACTTTTATAGACTTTTGGGGTAGTATTTGTCATTAGTCAATGTATCTTTAAAAAAATTTGAAACATTTATGTCTCTCTAACGTTTCTCTAAGGGAAATATGTGGATATTTTGGAGGAAGACATTAGAATTATTGTTCAGCTTGGGTCTAAAGAATGTATGGAATTAATTTGTGGTTCATATTCTGGTCAGAAAATAAGGTCATGTTTCTACATTAGCATTCTGAACAGTTGATATCAATCCAACAAAAATCATGCCAAATTAAATGTAGCATTTAAAAAATAATGTTGAAAATTGTTCTTGTAATGTTTGAGTCCTTTTAATCAATTAATTGCTTTTTTTCTACAATAATTGTAGACAGCTGAGGGGTAATCAAGTTTAAAATATTCAATTTTACTTAAGCATTTTAGATTATAGAACTGTACTTTGAAATAACAACATTGTGTATACCATTTCTTGAAGCATCCAAGAAATAAAGGCTTACATTATATAAAAACTCGTTGGTATAAAAAATGAGAATAATTAGTTGATTCCCAGTATAAAGAGGTTATCATGCTTAGAATTATAGCTTTTCAATTCAATAAGTTCTATATGACCTAAGTTAAATATTGGTTTTTATTTTTTAAATGTGATCTGTGACTTTGCATTTAAGTTTGAAGAGTATATCCATTTCACACGAATAAGGCTCACTGAATCATTAGCAAACATGAGCAGAATACTTTTTTTTTTTAAAGTAACATCTTTATTTTGGAATAGTTTTAGATTTACAGGAAAGTTGCAGAGATGGTACACAGAGTTCACATATACTCCTTACCCAGTTTTCCCTCTTATTAACATCTTACGCTATCACAGTTCTCTTGTCAAAACTAGGAAGCCAGCATTGGTGCATTATTGTTAAATTCCAGACTTTAATTTCATAATGACCCTTTTCTGTAACATGATCCAAACTAGGATACCACATTGCATTTAGAAAAGGAGCTTTTAAAAATAATTCAAATTATCTAATTTTTGGATACGTAGAAATGATATGCTGTAAGTTTCAGGGGAGCAAGAGTATATATATATATTTTTTTTTTTTTTTTTTGTCAGCATCTATATCAGTACTTGTTATCTAGCAGGCACTCAGTGAGTATTTGCACGATTGAATGAGTCTGTGACACATACTGTGAGATTATGTACTTTGAAAGTAAAGCCCTTGAATCTGCCTCCCTCGTAGAACTAAAAAAGTTTTGTTGAATCTCTGTGTTTCTTCACAGCTTTCTTTTTGATTACAAATAGGTAGAAATCTTATAAATGATTGAACTAAACCTGATTGAATATATTAGTGAATGTAAAATGAACTGATGTTAAAATATATGTACATTTTTGGCAGAATATATGAGTCATTTTATGACTAGGGGACTGTTATAGCTACATAGCTTTCATCATTTTAAGCAATATTATTAACAAAAAGGAGTATTTATATTCTCTATATGAACTTACTAGACTAGCATATTCAACCTTTATACCATGCATAATCTGTTACAGCTGTTTTTGTTGCACCTGTTTTCCTGCTTCATAATTTAATTTCCCGAATCTTAAAATTGGCCTTGTTTCTATCAATTCATCATAGTAATGACAGTTTATTGCCATTTAATACTAATTTGACTTACTTAATATTCTTATATTGTTTCATAGCTCACTGAAATGCAAGCTGAGAGTAGTTACTACAGCCCTCAAAAAGTAAAATCTAAAGAAGTATTGTGTTGGGAACAAGAAGGAACTACAGTTGAGGTAATCCCATCAACATTGAATATACTTTAAGAAATCTTTGTAATGGTCCTTAAGGTTAATATTTAATAAATACAGGTTTTTAAAATCATAAATAGTATATTTAAAAATGTATTTATAACTTTTTAATTTCTGTTTTAGTGATCAGTAGTATTAATTGAAATAATTATTCTTTAACAAAGATTTTACCGTAATATGCAACATTAATTTATTCTTTCATTTTTTCATTTGACTTGTGTGTGCTCATATGTATGTGTGGATTAATGTTCTTGAAGTGCCAGTCATTGAGGATACAAAGGTTTGAGGATACAGAGACAAGTAAGATGTTTCTTATTTTAATAGGATGTGTGATCTGAGGAGAATAAATATGGAAAGGTCATAATTCTAAAGATGTTTCAACTAATTTAGAAATTCTGCAAGGAAAGCTTGTAAAATTTTTATTGAAATTCAGGTTCATAATGCTTCCTTTCCTCTTATAGGCCCTTATGATGGGAGAGCCTTTCTTTGATTGCCAGATTGGTTTTGTAGGTTGCAGAGCCATGTGCCTTAAAGGAATTATGGGTGTTAAAGATTTTGAAGAGAGTATGAATAGAAGTGAAACCGTAAGTCAAAATCTCCCCTTTCCTCCATTTTTTTTTTTTTGGATAGAATGTAGGGATAATGAGGTGCTTATTGAGGTGTTTAACCATACCAAAAAATCTGTTAGACTACATATATCTTTGGCTTGAGAGGGGAACTTTACTATTTTCCCCTATAAGAAATTATAGAGCTCAGGGGAATTTAGAAAGTTGGTAGTACTTAACACCTGGACAGTAGTTCCAAGTACTTTCCAATTCATAAATGTTTCTTTCTTGTTTATGGCAGCTACTTGGAGTTCCTCTTTGGTTTGTTAAAATGTTCTTTGCCAAAATAGGCAGTGAAAATGGAGACAGCATGCCTTGTCTTTTTACAGGACCTCAAGTTGTAGTGTGATTTCTATTGACTACTGAATTGGTATTATAAAACCAAGGTTTTATTTTCTTTAACTGTCTAATGATTTTTTCTCCTGTTCAAAAATTTTGCATTTATTTTCAGGAAGCCTGTTTCTTCATTTGTGGTGAAAATTTGAATATGAAAGGTTTGACATACCTCACAAATTCATTGTTCGATTACCGAAGCCCAGAAAATAATGGTACTCGTGCAGAATTTATCTTGGATGCAGCTAATCATAAGGTCAGAGAATATATATTTGAGCCAAATTCTAGGTTGTGCTGGGGTGGACACTTTGTGTGAATACTTGTGATTGATGTTTCTTCTCCAGTAATATATTCTGAATGCTAGTTGTTTATTGAAACATCTAGCACATCTTTGTCCACCTTCTATATCTAGAGAGGTTTAAGGAGTGCACAAAGATCTCTACTTTTATATAGCATGCAGCCACAGTTAGTTTATCCATTCCCTACTGTTAAAATAGTCATGGAGGAAACATGTAGAATTATTTCTTTTAATTTCAGTTACTTTTGAAGTGTGGGATTAATGAAAAGAAGTGAAGAATTTAACATTTTACTATATGTAGTGTTTGAATTTTTCATATAAGATTATATTAATGTACTTTTTATGGAATAAATTTAAAAACTCAAAAAAAGTTCCTGAAGATTAGTATAATAGAATCAATGATTTACATTGATTCTACAGACTTACTTTTATAGTTGAAAGTAAAGAATTTAATTTTTACCTGCATAATTAACATACATTTAAAAATATTTTAGTATATTTTTAGTGTTTGAACTGTTTCACATAAGTGTACTGAAATATTAAGGATTAACTGTATTTGAGAGTATATATTAGACCGTTTTGTGATGGTGATAAAGGTCAACACCATACTGCCCTACTCTATTGTAGGTATTCATTAACCAGACATTATTGACAAAGTGGTCAAATTGTCTAGTAGAATTATAGATGTCCTTTTGTGTGGTCCATAGTAGAGGTAACACTACGTTTTTTAGAAGCCAATTCTTTGTGTAACCTCTGTTCTTCTTTCTGTTTTGGTAATCCTTTGAGTTGGTACACATTCTCCATAAGGATATGTGTCTAATTCTTGATCTTTCAGGTTTTAAACTCAAAAGTCTGTTCTATACAATGTATGTTCTGTTTGCTTTGCTTTGTTGGCAGGAGACATACACTGAGATAGCTGGAATGCAAAGGTTTGGGGCTTTTTACATGGATTACCTGTATACAATGGAGAACACCAGTGGCAAAGGTACTGGTTTCTTTCCTTTATATTTGCTTTTCCTTGAACAACAGAAACAAAGACTTCTTCAGAAACAATTGGTCCTTGACTGATTGTACTCTGTTACATCAGAGTTACCTTCTGTTACTTTGTGGAGTGGTTTAATTTTAATGTCATGTTAGAATTTTCTTAGATTCTTAACATTTTTAGTCCTTTCTTTGTGCAGCTGATTGAAAAGATTTTTATATAATCAACTAGAATTAGTTCTAATATGTACCAAATATTAAAAATTTTGATACATCAAATTTCATATTAAGTTGTCAAAGAGCATAAACATTTCCTTTTCTGTATTAAATATATTTTGAAGGTTATATAGATCTTTTTATTAAAAAAAGAGTTTGTTGTTTCAAACAGAAAAGTAGAAATATATTCTTCTAGAAACTATGGACAGTCTTTTATTATTTTATTATGTGTTTCATTTTAGTAATCAAATGATTTCAGAAATTTAACTATACTATGTTGTGCTTATCATTCCAGCCTTTTTCATATTGAAAACTTAGTCAATATAGGGTCACCATTTTTTGGTTAATTTTTCATATTTCAATAAATGATTTCCTTGTTTCAGGTGATGAGTTAGATATTGTGAATGCAAAGAAGACCAAAGCATTTCTCAAGAAACCAATAGGTAGTGTTCATGCACTTAAATAAGTGATTCTAATATAGCATGTTAAGGACAGTAATGTAAACAGACAGCTAAAAGAGGTCCAGGTGAGAAGGGGACTACCTTTGTCTGTGGGGTTGAAGACTTCACAGAGGAGTTGATGTTGAAGGATCGTTAAGTTTGTTAGATGAAAACAGAAGGAAAGAACTGTAATTTTCTACTTCCTGCTTTCAAAATGGATTTCTAAATGTTGGTGTTTTCATTGGTCAAACCTGGATTCACTTCTTTCCCTAAAATCTTCCTGAAGTAATCTTATTCTTTTTCATGGATTTGAGTACCTTCTATATGTTATTGGTGTCCATATTTGTATTTTTAGTCCAAACTTATTCTTTCAGATTTAGAATTAAATATATCCAGTGCACACTTGACATTTTTACTTCTGTGTCTCACAAATATCTCAAAACTGAATATGTTGAAATTGAATTATTAAAACCCTCATGACTACCCACTACTTCTCCCCTATTTTCAGTGTTCTCTTACTGGAAAATTTTTCTACTGTCTTCTAATTGCACAAGCTGGAAATCTGGGAATCTTGACACACTTCTCTCCTGGCATCCAACCCATCAGTGCATTTTGTCAAATTTTATCTCTAGAATCTATCTAGAATCTGTCTTTTCTTAAGCTTCACCATTAATGCTCTCATCCAATCTGTTATCATCTAGATTCTAATAGCTTTTTTACTGGCTTTCTCCTTCCACTCTGGCCCTCCTATAATCTATACTGCAATCAGACTGGCTTAATTCTGTGCTTAAAATCTTCACTGCCTTCGCATTGCTTTATTTAAAAATAAAATTCAAATAGTTGATCAGATTTTGCTGTTGAGTTACTTGGTAGATAATGATAACCACCAAGGAAGATAGAGACACAAAAGGAAGATTTCCGGAGGAAAAGATGTGGTGTTTTTTTTTGTTTTAACATCTTTATTGGAGTACAATTGCTTAACAATGGTGTCTTAGTTTCTGCTTTATAACAAAGTGAATCAGTTATACATATACATATGTTCCCATATCTCTTCCCTCTTGCGTCTCCCTCCCTCCCAGCCTCCCTATCCCACCCCTCTAGGTGGTCACAAAGCACCGAGCTGATCTCCCTGTGCTATGTGGCTGCTTTGCACTGGCTATCTATTTTACGTTTGGTAGTGTATATATGTCCATGCCACTCCCTCACTTTATCACAGCTTACCCTTACCCCTCCCTATATCCTCAAGTCCATTCTCTAGTAGGTCTGTGTCTTTATTCCCATCTTACCACTAGGTTCTTCATGACATTTTTTTTCTTAGATTCCATATATATGTGTTAGCATACAGTATTTGTCTTTCTCTTTCTGACTTACTTCACTCTGTATGACACACTCTAGGTACATTCACCTCACTACAAATAACTCAATTTCGTTTCTTTTTATGACAGAGTAATACTCCATTGTATATATGTGCCACATCTTCTTTATCCACTCATCCGATGATGGACACTTAGGTTGCTTCCATCTCCTGGCTATTGTAAATAGAGCTGCAATGAACATTTTGGTACATGACTCTTTGAATTATGGTTTTCTCAGGGCATATGCCCAGTAGTGGGATTGCTGGGTCATATGGTAGTTCCTATTCATAGTTTTTTAAGGAACCTCCATACTGTTCTCCATAGTGGCTGTACCAATTCACATTCCCACCAGCAGTGCAAGAGTGTTCCCTTTTCTCCACACCCTCTCCAGCATTTATTGTTTCTAGAATTTTTTTTTTTTTTTTTTTTGCGGTACGTGGGTCTCTCACTGTTGTGGCCTCTCCTGTTGCGGAACACAGGCTCTGGACGCGCAGGCTCAACGGCCATGGCTCACGGGCCCAACCGCTCCGCAGCATGTGGGATCTTCCCAGACTGGGGCATGAACCTGTGTCCCCTGCATCAGCAGGTGGACTCTCAACTACTGCGCCACCAGGGAAGCCCATGTTTCTAGATTTTTTGATGATGGCCATTCTGACCGGTGTGAGATGATATCTCATTGTAGTTTTTTTTTTTTTTTTTGCGGTACGTGGGCCTCTCCCGTTGCGGAGCACAGGCTCCGGACGCGCAGGCCCAGTGGCCGTGGCTCACGGGCCCAACCACTCTGTGGCATGCGGGATCCTCCCAGACCGGGGCACAAACCCATGTCCCCTGCATCGGCAGGCGGACTCCCAACCACTGCGCCACCAAGGAAGCCCTCATTGTAGTTTTGATTTGCATTTCTCTAATGATTAATGATGTTGAGCATTCTTTCATGTGTTTGTTGGCAATCTGTATATCTTCTTTGGAGAAATGTCTATTTAGGTCTTCTGCCCATTTTTGGATTGGATTGTTTGTTTTTTTGTTATTGAACTGCATGAGCTGCTTGTAAATTTTGGAGATTAATCCTTTGTCAGTTGCTTCATTTGCAAATATTTTCTCCCATTCTGAGGGTTGTCTTTTGGTCTTGTTTATGGTTTCCTTTGCTGTGCAAAACCTTTTAAGTTTCATTAGGTCCCATTTGTTTATTTTTGTTTTTATTTCCATTTCTCTAGGAGGTGGGTCAAAAAGGATCTTGCTGTGA